CTTTCCAGGAAACGCCCTCGTACCGATAACCAGCTCCTGGACCCACCAAAATTCCTGCCAAATTTCCCCGGTGTGGGACAGGCTTCACTAGCCGCTAGCCCGATCGACTGCAGCTATCAGGACGAAAATTTCTCACAACAGGTTTTTTACTTTTTTCCTCAGTCATAAATCTCTCGCTGAAGTGCATTTGACTCAAGCTAAGGTCTTAGTTCAAGGTGATCAAGTTCTCGACGTTCCAAGAAGATCAATGGAGTCCTATCTACGACATCAATCATCAACAGTTGACTAAACTGAAAATCTGCGTCGTGGCCGATAAAGGGTTCAACTATTCGATTTCTGATGGTTGTTTTGTCAATCAGAAGAAGAATCATTTCCAAGTAGGCATTTTTAAACACCCAGCTCAAAAAAACAAAACAAAACAGAAAATTTGTTTTTAGATCTCTGTGAACATCGAAGCAAATGACGAAAATCCACCAAAATTCGTCAAAGTCGACGGAGTAATGCATCCCATCAAAGCGATCAAATTAGCTTTTTGTGGAGTCAAAGCTGAAATGCTTACGTCAGAAATCCAGATCAAGCAATCACAAACCGATCGCAAGCCAATCCCTCACGATCCAGTCATGTAAGATGCCTATTCAAATCCTTGAATTCCAGAAAAAATCTAAAAATTTGCTCTTTAGCCTGAATATCCACGCTCGAGAAATCACCAAGGTGACGGTGCCCCGTCTCCACTTCTCCGAGACTACGCTAAATAACCAGAGAAAGAACAATCGGCCAAACCCAGATCAGAAATATTTCTTGCTGGTCGTTCGCCTTTTGGCATGCATTGAAAATGGCCCACCAGCTCTTATCCAGGCACAGCAGTCAGAGAAAGTCATCGTTAGGGTAGGTTTACGGTTTGGAATTCCCTATCTCAGAGCCCACCCAGATGAAAATTCTGAGATTTTGATGGTGTATAACAGCGGGGCCCCTAATTACGTGAACGCCCAAGTTTCGCTGCAAATAATGAATTCCGAAGTGAAAAAATCGCCACAGAATGTGGACGCTGCTGGGGCAGCCACGCCCATCAGCGTGGGTGGTCTAAGTAAAGAGCTCGAAAATCGAACTCGTTATTATCTGGTAATGTCAACGGCCTTCACTGTGAAATCAGATCTTCGGCCTTTATTGGTACTACTACGTCCAGTTTCGGGCTCACTAGACCAGCCACGTTGATGAGC